TCAGTCAACTCCCCTCCAAGATTGGAATACTACTCAGCCATAAGGAAGAATGAACTAATGCCACTTGCAGTGACATGGATGAACATAGAGATTGTCACACTAAGTGAAGTAAGTTGGACAGAGAAAGAGAAACATTATATGATGTTGCTTCTATGTGGAATCTAAAACAATACAGATTTTATTTACAAACCAGAAATAGACTCACAGACAGAAAACAAACTGTGGTCACCCTGAAAGGGAAGGGAAGAGATAGATCGGGAGTTCAGGATCAGTAGATCCACATGACTGTATATAAGAGACATAAACAACAAGGACCTACTGTAGAACTGATTCAGTGTCTTGTGCTCAGCTGTAATGGAAAAGAAATGGAAAATACATATGTGTGTGTGTGCGTAACTGAATCGCTCTGCTGGACACCTGAAACTAACATTGTAAACTGACTACAGTTCAATAAAAATAAGAATTAGAAAAATTTTAAGTAAAATTTTAAAAAATTATATGGAAAAAAAATTTAAATGATTGGCTTCAGCCTCACAGGGCTGTGATTTTGGCCAAAGGTCTCCTCCCAAATTTGCCTTTGGGCCCCTACTGCTGCAGTGGGGACAACTTGGGTAGCAGAGACACAGGTGGTCTCACCAGAATGAAGGGGAACTCAGCTATGTCTGTGTCCACACTAGACCATAAGGTGGCTGGAAAATAAACTGCAAACCAAACAAATAAAAGACCCCAGTCTCATCAGGAAATAGCCAAGAATTTAAATTCTACTGAAGCCAAAGGTTTCAAGATGATAACTTCAGAAGCAGAAGAGCACCCACGCCTCTTCCCCATCGGCAGTACCTCCAACCCCATCAGCACAGGCCGGGCGCTGGTGGTGGGATGGAGGTTTTACTTACCAGCCCTCAGGCCCACCTCAGCCTGATCCCAATCACGTGACAGGAATCAGGTGGAGACTTTGAAGAGGTCTCAGATTCTTTCCAATTTCCCTGAGGATCAAAACGGACAGCTGCCCTCAACGTGTGTCCACCACTGATGGGTTAATCCTTCTCTCTGGAAGAGAGAGAGAGAGAGAGAGTGTGTGTGTGTGTGTGTGTGTGTGTGTGTGTGTGTGTGTGTGTGTCCCCGACACTCTCCACCCCCTCCCCACCTTCTGATAAGGAATGAAGGAGAAAACAACCCAGACAAGCCCCTCACTCTCGCTGCTTTGCCTGCCTCTGGTTGCTCCATCCTTCACCTCTCTCTGTCCTCAAAGAATTGCTCTGTTGCTTCTTGTTGTTGAGACGGGCTTCATCATTGGCAATAAATACCTTCTAATGGAAACCCTAGTGGGTGTGTGACCTGGGCAGCACGCAGGGCAAGCTCAGAAGACCCCACACGTGGTCTGATGATCGCTGGATGCCTTGAGATTCTTTTTCCCTTCCAGTTTTATTGAGATAGAATTGGCATAGAGCACTGTTATCTGTTTAAGGTATCAAGTATGATTTGACTGACATCCATCATGAAATGATCATCACTGTAGGTTTAGTGAACATCGATCCTCTCATACAGACACAAAATTAAACAGAGAAGAAAAAAGTATTATTTCCTTGTGATAAAAATTCTTAGAATTTACTTTCTTAACAACTTTCGTATGTAACATACGGCAGTGTTAATTACATTTATCATGTAGATTACATGCCTAATACTTATTTATCTGATAACTGGGCATTTGTACCTTTTGACCACCTTCGTCCAATTCCCTCTCTCTTCACCCTTGCCTCTGGTTATCACAAATCTGGTTGATCTCTTTCTCTGAGAGTCTGTTTGTTTCTGAAGTCAAATTGACTTACAACCCTATGTTAGTTCCTGGTCTACAACATGGTGATTCAATATTTCTATACATTTCAAAATGATCTCCACAGTAAGTCTTGTTCCCATCTGTCACCATACAAAGATACCACGTAATCATTGACGACATTCTCCACCCTGTACATTTCATATCCATGACTTACTTCTTTTGTAACTTGAGTTTGTACCTCTTAATCTCCCTCACCTATTTCTTTCCTCCCCCAACTCCCCTCCCCTTTAGCAACCACCTGTTCTCTGTATCTATGACTCTGTTTCTGTTTGGTTATGTTTGTTCATTTGTTTTTTAGATTCCACACATAAGTAAACTCATATGGTATTTGTCTTTTTGTGTCTAACTTATTTCACTTAGCATAATGCCCTCGAGGTCCATCTATATTGCTGCAAATGGCAAGATCTCATTCTTTATTTATGGCTAAGTAATAGTCCATTGCATGTATATACCACATCCTTATCCATTCATCTACTGATACTTTGATATCTTGACTATTGTATGACTTGGAATCCTTAATCATTTTGAATAAGGGCCCTACCTTTTCATCTGCACTGAGCCCTGCCGATTGGGAAGCTTGTCCTGACAGCTCAATACCCTGGATACTGTTCGAGAAAGTGCTTTGAAATAGGAGTACTGAAAAAAAAATATGTGTATGTTTACCTCAAGACCTACCAGGGAAGGAAAAATGCTCTCATGGTACATTTATCATGATCATGATTCATACAATCCAGTCTTAGAAGAAGAGCTGCATTGTGTACATAAGACCTAAAGAGTAAGGGAGAAAGTGTGGACTTCCAGAAGGTTTTTAGGCTCCTCTTATCTGTGACAGGGTCCAACTTTTCTTCTCTGATGCCCTGGACAGTTGGGAGGAGTCCTGGTCAGATATTTTGTACGCTGTCCTGCTGGGCTTTGTCTAATGGTTTTCTCATGGTTAGACCAGGGTGATGGGTTTCTGGAGCAAGACCAGAGGTGAGGGGCCAATCTCATCACATCACACCAAGGATGTGCGCCATCAGCATGACTCCTCACTGCTGATGTTCACCTTGACTACCTGGCTGGGGTCTCTCAGGTTCTCTGCTGTGAAGTTATCTCACACCTACTCCCACCGTTAGACTTTTCGTCCACTGGAATTCCGCTTCGTTCTACAAGAAGTGTCCAAGGCTGCCTCCGTGTCTCTGTTCTACACTGATTTGCTTCAGTTGCAAACTCTGCCCTCTGCCCTGGAGATTCTCCCCACTCACCCCATTCCGTCTCCTGTGACGCATGGTGTAATTATTATTTCCGGAACAAAGGTAAGTCAGAGCCACTACCGGAGACCAAGTTCGCCATCGTCTTTACCCGAACCAAAGCATTATTGGAAAAGTAAGTTACTTTTATTTTCCTTGAATATATTTGAGATGAAGTGCATTAGAATCCTTGCTGAGAAGATGTACCCAGACCCTGTCATCAGAGGAGAGATGTCACCTGAAGAACAACAGCAACAACAACAAAGAACCATAGGGTACATTTCCGCACTAAAACCTATTTCGAATGTTATTATTTATGCTGTGCTGCTTCATCAGTTCCCATCTCCTCTCCCTGAATCTATTAGCAGATGGGCAGAGCTGCCTTTCCCTCAGAGGGCCTTTGTGGTAATGGAGCCCACATTGTATTCTCTGCCAGCTAGGGCAGGGTAGCAGGTTGGGTGGCAGTGGAAAAAAATGGGGAGCCTTGGGTCCTCATCTACGGGGGAGAAATACTTCTGAGGTCGGCAGATGAATAATTTTTTCTAAATAGAATTTTTGAAGGCTGTTTCTGCATAGTGAGTTTAGAAATGTCTTCGACTGACAGGACGGATGCAGGATGCTGAGGTTTCAGCCCGACCATCCATCAGTGTGTTGTGTATGGTGGCTTCCTGGGTCTGTCTGAAGTCCTTTTAAATCCATTCCTCATTCTGGGCCTGTTGGAGATCCCTCTGAACTCAGGGCTCCGCCGTGAAGTGGCCGTACCTCTTCCGCCTACGTGTAACCATGTGATGAACGAATGCAAAAGGGAGGGTATGTGTTTGCCCCGCCTGGTCAGCTGGCCACTTGGCCCAGACCTGCTGTTTGTCCGCGTGTTTTCTCCTCTCTCCTCGGCCAGGCGAAGGGGGAGGTAGGGTAACACACAGCACCATCCTAGGTGGTTTGGGTTTTCCTTCAGGGAACTTTTTTTTTTTAAGTCTTCAACCAACTTCAAAAACTTTTTTTAATTGAAGTATAGTCAGTTTACAATGTTGTGTTAATTTCTGATGTTCAGCAGAGTGGTTCAGTTATGTTCCTTTTCATACTTTTTTCATTATAGGCTATTACAAGGTATTGAATACAGTTCCATGTGCTCTACAGTAGGGCCTTGTTGTTTATCTATTTGATATACAGTAGTGTGTATCTGCTAATCCCAAACTCCCAATGTATCCCTCCCCACCTCCCTTCCCCCCGTAACCACAAGTTTGTTTTCCATGTCTGTGCAGGGAGCCCTGCCTTGAGGGCTGAGACCTCTCCTTTGCGCGGGGAACCATTTCTTATGAGCCCTTTGCCCCCAGGTGAATGGGAAAGAAATGCTCCTGGTGGGTTGAAGCCAGCCCTTGCCCTTTCCTAAAGTACACACCACTGACAAGTTTACCCGTAAGAGCCAAAATTTGTACTATTCCCCCTCTGGCTTAAGAAGAGAAGGAAAGGGGTTGGTTCTTTTTCTCTGCCCAGCCCTCACATTAACATTATAGGGGGAGAAGGGATGAGCATATAACGAAACTCTCACCGAGACAATGTGTCCAGACCTGCAGTTACTGGAGTGTGGCCCCTGGGTTTCAATTTCCAGAATGTGTTTCTAAGTGACGCCCCTGTTGAATGTTATTATCTCCACGTGCCGTCCTGGTGGCTGCATCCTTCCCCTCCTGCGTTCACTGGAGGCTCGCCCAGGGTTCTCACCCAGAAACCCTTTTTCATGGTGAGCTCTCCTCAATGGACTTTTCTAGTGGGAATGGGATAGGGGACCAGTAGGGGATGCACATGGATGGCCTTGGGGCCTCGTATACATGGGAACGGGAGAGACAATTCTGAGATTGTAGAGACCAATAATTTTTGAAGGTTATTTCTTCATGGTGGTGGTAAAAAAAAATGCTTAAAAATAGTAGAAGGGCTATAGGATGCTCTTCCTCTCTCTGCTCTGTCTGTTGCCGGTGGGCCTGTTGCTGTCGCCCGTGTTTTTCGGAGCCCCCGTAAGTCACTTCTTCACCGAGGGCTGTGGGGCCAACTCCCCTCTCAAAACCATCGTGCGGCGCTGCCTCACTGAGACATCTTCGTTGATGGTAACTGCTCATCCTGAATCAATCCCTCCCTGGACTGACAGCGTGCAGTGCCTGGGGCTGGTGGGGGACAGGTGGCTGCTCAGTCCAGCATCTCCAGCCAGATGTTTCTGAGCTCAGCCAGCCCCCAGCCCACTCCCCTTCCTCCCCTGCGGCAGCGGAGCCAGAGTTACCAGGTGAAAATTCAAGGCACCCAGGTCACGCCAGATGTCAGATGAACAGTGAGGATGTATCTTTCTAGCATAAATATACCCCCTAAATGTGGCAATAAGACATATTTATGCTGAAAATGATTCCTTGTTGACCTGAGATTCAGATTTAACTGGGCATGCACATTTCATCCGGCAGCCTTTCCCTGGGGGACTCCGTGTGCTTGAAAATGAACCTGAAATTTCTTCCAAATCTGATTTCACGTCTGAATCCTGATCAGTTTGGGGGTTCCCTGTCACTCCTGCCCAGTCTGCCGGGGGCCCTTCTTGCTGCTTGTTGACTTCTGGGCTGTCTGGTGTTCAAATTTTTAACCAGTTAACTCTTAAGAGGGGTGGGAGACTGGTCCCCATCACCTGGGTACCTAGACCCCCCTAGGTTCCCCTGTGATCGGTCCATTTTGATCTTGGCCCCCACCCATCTCCTCTTCTCTTTGTGTCTCTGGTTCTGGGTTGCTTTGCTTGGTTAAGACATTTCCTTCTAGGGGCCCGAGGCTGCTTAGCTGGATACCCCCACCTCAAGCGAGGGGGCGGGCAACTTCCAGGCCCGTCACTCAACCTGTGATGAAAGGCCACCTTCACTTTCTTTTCCAAGCCAAACCCTGGAAGGGAAGGCGTTAATTTTCTCTTCTTTTTGAAATTCATCATGAGGGAGACAGCATCAAAGCTGCCCTGTTCTGGCTCAGAAAATACACTCAGAAGCTGTAATCAGGGGCGAGCTGTGACCTTCTAGGCAGGGTACATTTCTGCACAAAAACCTATTTTAAATTTTATCATCTACCTCATGCTATTTCATCTCCTCTCGCCCTCCTCCCTGGTATTTATTAGAGGCTGGGTGTGGATTTCTTTCCCTGAGAGACTTTTCATAATAATGACGTGTACTTGGCTGTCGCTCAGGGTGAATATATAGGACTGGGGGATGTTCTGCAGGGGAAATGGACAGGCTTATCTTCCTCGGTTGGAGAGAAATATTTGAGATAAAATAGACTCACATATATCACTCAAATGTGGAATCTAAAAAAAAGGAAAAGGAAAGAAAAAAGAGGATACTAATGAACTTATCTACAAAAGAAACAGACTCTCAAGACACAGTAAACAATCTTAGTTTACTAGGGGAAGGGGGTGGGAAGGGATACATCTGGAAGTTTGAGATTTGCAAAAGTTAACCTCTAGATATAATAGGTAAAGGACAAATTTCTTCTGTATAGCTCAGGGAACCATATTCAGTATCTTACAGTAACTAGAATGAAAAAGAATACGAGAAGGAATACATATACATGCATGTATATGGGTGACTGAAGCGTGATGCCACACACCAGAAATTGACACAACATTGTAAACTGACTGTACATCAATTAAAAAAAAATTTTTTAAATAGACTCATAATTTCTCAAAACAGAGGTTTTGAAGGTTGCTTTTGCACAGCGAAGTTGAAAACTCCTTGAAGTGGTAGGAAGCTTACGGGATGTGAGCATCATTGTGCCATTGTCCTGTGTCTCTGTACACCAGTATCCTTTGGGGTTCAAGCATGCTGCCTGTTTTTAGATGTTCACGAGGGGTCTGACTGAGAGAGTCTTCCAGAAGCCGCTCTCCGGTGCTTGCAGCCCTCATCCTTTGATGGATGTTCGTGCAATTTTCTCATTATTTTTCTGTCACATTCACAGAAACAGTGTAAACTACTTTATTTCAAAACCATTATGTTAGTTTACTCCATAATTTAAGCTGCGTATTCTTTTTCTGATTTGAATCTAGTAATAGCATATTTTTAAAGATAAGTCAAGAAGTTTTCCTGAATAAATTTTCAATGACAACCGCTGAAGATTCCGTTGGTTTTCTTCCCCCCTTCTTTTATCGCCTTTTATTGGACTTTCATTCTACACACGTGATTGAGTTATCATTTCTTTCCCCAGGCATTTAACAGACCCTGTGACTTCTATTAGGAGAGAGTTTCAGAGGGGTCATCTTATCGACCCGGTTGTCTTTGATTCAAGAAAATAACCAAAGGACAGCTGTGTGGTAAGGGGCATGCATCAATGCCCCCACCCCCACCCTGCCCAAGACCACCCCCAGAGAGGATTCCAGGAATTGCTTGAAGGTAGGAGTTTGTAAAGACTGGCTTCTCTCCCTGTAGCAAGGTTCGCATGTTTTAAATTCTGTTCTTTCCACAGCCCCCTTCACTTCTGTGTATCATTTGTGCAGAATTGTGTATCTGCCTCAAGACTCCTCTCCCGCTCCTTCCCCAGGTGGAATTTGCTGGGTGCGTGACATTGTTTACACTCTTTGCCAGCCAAGAGTTAAGGGGCAACACCTGTTTTCTGTCAGATCTGAATCTGTTTTCCTGTAGTGCTTTAGACTTGAGGGGCAGCCCCCCTTTTAGGAGTGGTGGAGGAAGAATCCTCAAGAAAGGTGTAAAGATTTGTTTTAAATGCCTCAAAGTGTGGACTTCCTATATGGGTCTAATATGTCAATCACTGTTCTTAAAAACAAACTAGAAATCAAATGTCTTCATTAGCTTGATAGGGTTCAAATTTATTGCTGGGACAGTATTCTTCCTTTTCTTATTCTCTCTCTTTCCTAAAAGGTGCATTGGAAATACAGTGTTGCAATATTGTACCAAATGTTGCAACAAATGCAATGTTGTATTTCCAGGTAAGTTTGGTCATGTAACAGCTTTTAAATTTCTGGTGTGTTTTAAGCAGACTGATTAAACTTAAAGGAAGTTGAAAGGTGCTACGCTGAGTCAAGGAGATAGTTTCTGAAGATTGAGGAAAAAAAAAGTCTTGTAATTCCAGTTTCCCATCATAAAAGGTAGAAATTCTAAAGCTGGTGAGAGGACAAAAGAGTGACTTCATAGCAATTCTGAAATAATTTGGTTCCTCTCTTCCTGTTAGCACTCTTCTCCCCTTTGTTACTCACGGCTCCGCTTCCCCAGTTAGACCTGACCTTGAGGTTGGAGCCTTTGTGGTCTCTTCCTCCCGGGGCAGAGCCAACCCTTGATATTTGATTTCCTGCTTCGTTCTGAAAGAACTCTGGAGGGTTCCTCCTTTATTTTCTGTCAGGATCCATAGAAACCACAGAGAGGCTTTTGCTCAAAACACACTACTTGAGCCCACATTGCTACAAAATTGCAGTTACAGAAGTACGCTTTCCTCTGCGGTGGAAATCTCGAGAAAGGATGAAGCCGAGATGAACGTACTTCAGGTATGGCAGAGTCCACCCAGTTGAGTTCCTTTCATTACTAAGAAAACCCCACTTACAAAATCAGCCGGAAAGCACACATTCTTGAGTAAATTTTGGCCTGAAAAGTTTTTGAAAGAGTCTTTTGAGCTGCTTGAATTCTTTTCCCTTTATTCCAGTCCCCTTCGTCCTCCGTTCTCTTCGAGAAATGCTATTGAATTCTGTGCATCTACGTGAGTTCCTGGCTCCCCCGCCAGTGTCATTTAGAAGTATCTGAGAGGGAGAAAGTTTTCAGCTTCCCAAACACTTGCCTTTCCTCAGAAGAGGTAAACAGAACTTTAATGGCAGGTGTTCTGAAGAAAGAAAGAAAGAAAGACCCAAGTACCACACGAGACAGAATTTCTAAACATTTTGGAAAATAGAGAAGTGTTCTTTCGTTCTGTTTCCCGGTGTTCTTGCCTAATTAAGTTTCACTCGTCTGCGGCTTAGTGAGGGGAGAACTGGATTCCTGGTGAACATTTATCTTTTCAGAGAGATCAGACTTAGTGTTTTTCCCCCTAAGGTGATTGGAAAACCAAAATGGATGAGGCTAATTCCAATGTTTTCTTTCTTGTCTTTGTTTCTGCTTTGAAATTAGTCCATTTTCCCATCAGGATTAATGAAAGACAAAAGGAAAGATCATTTCCACCCACTGATTATATCCACTGTTTTTTCTTTTTAAGGATGCAATTCTGGAGGAAAAATGAGTTCTCTCAAATACCTCAATTATTTTTTGAGAAATGGACCTTTACAGACTCATCTAGTGATGAGAAACATTGAAAATCAAAATTCAAAGAGGAGATACTCTTGAGTTCAATCTTGGCATGACAGACTCCACATGGCATCTTCAGTAATTGGATTTTTCCCCTTTACCTCCTGTCCACGGTTGCTTCCTAAATTTTAGGTATGTGCTTAGGGTCTGGGCACAAACTTTCAAGGATTGATTTTAAACATGATTTTCCACTCAACATCTTTCAGGGGGGAAGAGAAAATCTCTGGGAGGGAAATCTTAAATTGATTGTCTTTCATCAGGAGAAGTAAGCACCGCCTAAGATGAGTAGTTTCTGAAATAAAACGGGTGATTGCTTAGAAAATTGCATGAGGAGAGAGAAATAGTCCGACACGCGGCGCGGTTTGGACAAATGTGTTTTTCTGTCCCTCTGGCGGGTCCTTCAGTTCCGTTCTCTCTGAAGAACCCAGTTGAGTTTCCACCTGTCCCTTGGATGGTCTTGTGAGGTGACACTTCAGACACTTCAGATGCTTACCCCCAAGCTAGATGGGGTACCCTGCGGTATAATGTAGAACCCATCTCCTTTGTAGCCTTTACCACAATACCAATCATTATATAACCGTGCCCTAATTTTCCTCTCCTCAGCCACGTGTGCAGTCCCTCAACTGGACAGAGCTGAGCTCCTTAGATCATGAATGAGAAACAGTATTTAATTCTCATGTGAAGGAGGCACTTCTAATCTTCCTCCTGGCCTCGTGTATTTCTCACCGGAATCTCTTCTTTTGAATTTTCTGTACATAACTAAGCTTTTAAGTGACTGAAATATTTTAACTGATTTTTTTTTTCGTGAA